CCTACCTATCCTAGAGCATGGGAGATCTTTCCATTTTCTGAGGGCTTCTTTAATTTCTTTCTTTAAAGATTCAAAGTTCTTACGATACAGGTCTTTCACTTGTTTGGTTAGCGTTACCCCAAGGTATTTTATGTTGTTTGTGGCAATTGTAAAGGGTGATGTTTCTCTGATTTCTCTTTCAGCCCTTTTATCATCTGTATATAGTAGGGCTACTGATTTTCTTGAGTTGATCTTGTAGCCTGCCACTTTGCTGAAGGTGTTAATCAGCTGTAAGAGTTCCCTGGTAGAGTTCTTTGGGTCATTGATGTAAACTATCATATCGTCTGCAAACAGTGAAAGTTTGACCTCTTCCTTCCCAATTTGTATCCTCTTGATCCCCCTTTGTTGTCGTATGGCAATAGCTAGAACTTCAAGTACCATGTTGAAAAGGTATGGAGAGAGTGGACAGCCTTGTTTTGTTCCTGATTTTAGAGGAATTGCGTTGAGTTTCTGTCCATTTAGTTTGATGTTGGCTGTTGGTTTACTGTATATAGCTTTTATTATGTTTAAGTATGTCCCTGTTATCCCAGATCTCTCCAAGACCTTTATCATGAAGGGGTGTTGGATTTTGTCAAAGGCTTTTTCAGCATCTAGTGAGATGATCATGTGATTTTTGTTTTTCAGCTTGTTTATATGGTGGATTACGTTGATGGATTTTCGTATGTTGAACCATCCCTGCATTCCTGGGATGAAACCTACTTGATCGTGGTGAATGATTGTTTTGATGTGTTCTTGGATCCGATTTGCCAGTATTTTATTGAGTATTTTTGCATCAATGTTCATGAGGGATATTGGTCTGAAGTTCTCTTTCTTAGTTGTATCTTTGTGTGGCTTGGGGATCAAGGTTATTGAAGCCTCATAGAAAGAGTTTGGCAAAGACCCTTCTGCTTCTATTGTGTGGAACACTTTGAGAAGAATTGGTATAAGCTGTTCTTTGAATTTCTGGTAGAATTCTGCACTGAGGCCATCTGGACCTGGGCTTTTTTTGGTTGGGAGACTTTTGATGACAGCTTCTATTTCCATAGGGGTTATAGGTCTATTTAAATTGCTTATCTGTTCTTGATTTAGTTTTGGCAATTGATAGCTGTCCAGGAAGTCATCCATTTCCTTTAAATTTTCGAATTTTGTGGAGTACAGGTTTTCAAAGTATGACCTAATGATTCTCTGGATTTCCTCAGAGTCTGTTGTTATGTCCCCCTTTTCATTTCTAATTTTGTTAATTTGCATGTTCACTCTCTGCTGTTTGGTAAGTTTGGACAAAGGTTTGTCTATCTTGTTGATTTTCTCAAAGAACCAACTCTTTGTTGCGTTGATTCTTTGTATTGTTTTCCTGGTTTCTACTTTATTAATTTCAGCCCTCAATTTGATTATTTCCTGGCGTCTACTCCTCCTGGGGGAGTGTGCTTCTTTGTGTTCTAGAGCTTTCAGCTGTGATGTTAATTTTCTGGTATAACTGTTCTCCTGTTTCTTCATGTGGGCATTTAGCGCTATGAATTTCCCCCGTAGCACTGCTTTCAAAGTGTCCCATAGGTTTGGGTATGTTGTGTCTTCATTCTCATTGAATTCGAGGAAGTCTTTAATTTCAAGATCGTCTCAGTGGCTTTCTTGTTTGTTGGGTATACCACACATATCTTTATCACAGTCCTGAGAGTCACACATCTCACTTTCTTGTTCACATGCCCTCTTATCATGGTAACAACCAAGCCTGTTTGAAATGCCTCCACTCATAGTCCAGACGATTGAATTGTAAAAGCTACTGCATTTTGACTGTATGCACAGTTTTCAGCACTTATGGAAAATAATCAATTAATGAAACCAAAGATTTTTAATATTTTCCTACCACCACTCCTCATCATATAGGTATACAAATTAAATCTTCATTGCATTCTTAAACTGTTTGATTTTTAAAAATTGCTGTTTGAGCTGCAGACTTGGGTTTTGTAGAAAATGGAATTGTTAAAGAAAATTTGACTTAGGATAGCACATGATTTTCCAACAGTTCCTAAAATGGCCCTACTCATACTCTGTACTCTTGCACTGATTATTTATGTGAACTGAGGTTATGAGTCCTGACAATCATAAAATCAGAATATTGATCAAATTTGAAAAGTGTTGAAGGTGCCTGATCAGGTTTGTCCAAGCTATTGACTGCAAGACTCAAGTGTCCATGGATGACTGTGAAGGGCCCCCAGCATATCTGAAATTACAATGTCAAGCTGCGGTTAAATGTGTACCCAAGATTTAAGTTTTTAAAAATAAAAACAAGCAATCATGCACATTTCCTTAATGTACAATTTTGCTCTCAGCTTTAGTAAATGGTTAAAATCGTATATTTATCAAAAGCTTTTAGAATCAGACATTTTTTAAAAAATTGAGAATTTCCCACTTGTGAATGCTATTTATAACATTTTCACTCCTTCTTCTCTACCTCAACAATATGTAATGTTGTTGCATGTAATGTATGTAACAATAATAAAACAACACACACACATACACACACTACTGAGCCATGTAGTGTTAATCATGTGTTTATGGTTGACAGTTGGGACTGGATAACTTATTGGGTGATTTTTCCTAGAGAAGTCAGATTGAGAAGAGTATTTTAGTAGTCATTAATTACCTCTCTGGGATTTCCTCCATTTATGATTATCATGCCCATTGTTGTTATTGTTTAGTCCTTGTGATAATATTTTCGGAATCTCATGGTGATGCTTCCCTTTCATATAGTTTTTCAAAACACTGTCTTGAAGCAGAGAATCATATTTGATTCAACATGGAATAGGGAACAAATTGCAAACATAGAGACATATGATGCCAGACTTTAGTGGATGCAGAGTGAAGAGAATCAAGAGTGACAGGTAGGAGAGGTGAGTCAACATTTGGGAGTAGAGGGACAATGGCTTTTATATTCTTTCTGCCTTCTCTTTCAAGACTGTGATTATTAACTATTAGGGCTTTTCTTTTTGGCTAAATTGGTATAAGCTAGAGTCATCTGGGAAGAGGACCCTCAGTTGAGAAGACACTTTCGTCAGATTGGCCTGTTGGCAAGTTTGGGGGTCCTTCCCCTGACTGATGTCGGTGGTGCCACACCTGACAAGTTGGTTCTGCAAGGTGCGAGAAATCAAACTGATAGTCCTAGCATTAACGAAGGCAGAGGGAGGTGGATCTCTGCAAGTTCAAGGCTAGCTTGGTCTACAGAGTGAATTCCAGCCACACAGAGAAACCCTGTCTTGAAAAACAAAAATAAAAGAAAAAAACAAGCAATAAGACAAAAAAAAAATAGAAAGGAAGAAACAGTGAAAGAAAAGAAAGGGGAAACAAGGAAAAGAAGCCAAGCTGAGCAAGCCATGGGGAACAATCCAGGAAGCAGCATTCCCCCATGGTCTTCCTCTAAGAGCTTCTACTGTTGCCTTCAGGTCCCTGCTGTGAGTACCCTCATTGATAGCCTGTGACCAGGATGTGCAAGCTGCTAGAGGCCATTTGCTCTTCCAGTTGCTTTTGGTCTTGATGTTTATTACACCAACAGATAGCAAACCAAGCCAGTGACATTCCCTGAACTTTAACTGAGAGTGTTGCACTGTAGATGTATCAGCAGAGGTTGGGCACTCCGTGGCCTTGTGTTCTCTCTGCCTTTTTTTTTTTATTGAGATGAGACCTACACCTATCTGTGTTTTAAGAATAAGTTTAGAATAGAGCTACAAATCATACTGATTTAGGAGAGTGACAGTGGTAAGTTTCTCCTCTAGGGTCATGACCCCACCAGCCACAGTTTTGGCTACGTTATATAGTACCTGGCATGAATTCCTTCCTATTGATCAGGACTTAAGTCTGATTAGACAGTTGTTGGTTCCCCTCAAGACGCGTCAGCAATTGCTTGATTTGTCCCCACTTTACACGCTTATATAACTGGAATCACGTATAAAATTTCTGAGGGGAAGGGGTTGTGAATGGAAAATGTTTAAGAAGCCCTGCTCTAAGACCCTCACCCATCGAGATCTGCATGCTGGTTTCTTATGGCTACAGCTACATTTTAGAGTCAGATTCAATGGGATTGCTATTTTGCCTAAGTTCCACTGTGTTCACTTACTTTCTGAAAACTTCAGGGTTCTCTTAGTCCCTGAGGATTTTACAATTAACATATCCTTTCAGATCATTTATGTTAAATTAGCCTCTTAAAAATCCCGAAATTCTGGAGCTTGACTCTATTCTCTATGTATGGAATTACTGGCTTAGTTTTCATCTTTATTGAAGCTCTTATTCCTAGCACAATAAGCAGACCCTCCGGATCCATCATAGTTCAAGTCTGTAGTGCAGGGCAGTAATTCTACCAGGAATTTGCACTCACACCAAGAGAATGTTGTTCTCAGTAAAAACATTCACATTACTACATATCCATATTTAAAAATATCCTTTAATTTATTTAATGTGTGCCAAACTTTTTGTAGGTGTGCCAAACCTTTTGTAGGCTGTTTGCACATATTAACTCACTTAATTCACATAACAGCAGTATTAAGATGGATATTATCATGAAATCCCACTTGCATATAGGAAAATCAAGGCATACGGATCTTGGAATCATTTGGTCAAGGGCCTCGGCTGTGAGTGGCAGGGCTTAGCTCCAGCCTGTGTCAGAGTCCTTTTAAAGATTTAGGACCAATTTACATTCCTGGGGACAGACGTTTCTGTCTTTGAGTTTGCATGCGATGTTCTGGCTTACACTTCAGTTACTACTCAAACTCTCTGCTGCCTTTCCCACAAAACTTTCAGTGGCGCTGCTGAAAGGATGACGTGGAGGTGAAATCACAACACTTGAACTAAAAGCCGGGAGCTACATGACATGCTGTCCCGCGAAGGGATTTTAAAAACACTGTGTTTCTTAGTATGTAACACCGAAGATTAACAAGCACTCTAATAATCTTCGGAAGTTACTTTTTGTATGTGATAGGGAGAGAATGCGGGGCTTTGTTAAAAGTTTAGTTTTGACTGTAAATCTGCTCATTCCCCAACCAAAACTTTGTTTAAAAAGAAAAGAAAAACAACAACAACAAACAAAAAACCCAGAGATATCCAAGCATTTGATTTCTACTTCATTTCTTCAGTTTACCAGAAGGTGGCGCTGTAAGTCATTGGCAGAAGAGCACAAGAAGGAAAATGCGAACAGCCAAAAGTGTTGTTTATGCTTTAAGGTACAGTGTTATACAGCGTTTTGACATTTCCTCTTTTTGGGTTTTAAACTATCTTGTTTTATTTCCAAATATTTTCAGATTATTCGTAAAGAAAACATCTAAGGGTCTTGAAAGATTAAACCACAAATCTCAAACCAACAAACCTCCAATTCCAGTCCTATGTCACAGGAAGAAAATACTTACAAGGCTGAACTTCCTTCAGTGACCCTTTGCCCTCATATTTCCTAGCTGAGAAATATGAATTTCCAGCCAAGGCACTCAGAACTCAAGCGATGTTATTTTCAAGTCTACACTTCTCAAAGCAAAGGGCTGCCAAGAGTATATGACATAGTTTACAGCTGCAGGGCAGCAGGGCCACCTCCCCCTTTCTGGATGTAATGATGAATTAAATCACCTTTCCCTGTGCGGATCACCTTGACATCCTGCAGAAACAGCCACTTCTCCCTGAAATGTTGCAGCTCCTGTAGACAGTTATGCTTGGGGAATGTGTACATTTACATTTCTGTCAAGTGTTTTGCAAGCCCAATTACATACACAAGACTCCCGATTTTGACATAGCTCTCCTTAAATTATACCAAGTCTGTGACAGAGTGAATGATAACCTTATATAATCCGGGATGTTTCATGAGTCTTAAAAGTGGTCTTTATTGCCTTGAATGCAGATGAACATTTATTTTTTATTCTAAGACCCTTAGTGAATGTAAATAAAATATCCCATCTAGCTGTTCATTTACTTTTGAATGTGCATGTCATTTTTATTTCAGATAGCTTCCAACTGAATTATGCTGAAAACCCACACCAGAATCATGAAGCCAGTATGTGGGGAGAGGTTGTAGACAGGTTTCTCAGAGAAGTAGGGTCACCTAACCATCTCTCTAGCCCATCACCTGAGTGTTTAATGGGTAGACAACAGGTAGATGTTAGTAGTGGGTGAGAATCTAATGGAGACATCTCAATGACACTAACCCCATTGTGAGTAGCTCTGTCAGGGCCCAGGGTTACAGGGAACGGTAAAGACAAGAACTAGAGAGGGCTAATGGCATCCGCCATCTGGCTGAGTTTCTATCAGGGTTCCTCTTTTATTGGAGCCTAAGAGGAGTTGGTGCAGAAGAGCAAGGGCAAAAAGGAGGACTTGGGTTCTAAATGCAATGGCAGCACGCATGCATAGCAGCGCTCGCGTGTGTGTGTGTGTGTGTGTGATGGGGGGAACTGTATGCCTCATCTGTACCTAACTAGGTCTATGAGTGGTAATCTTGTAGCTAGGGATGTGGAGGACAGCAACTTCTAACTAGCATCGTTTCTGCAGGACTAGGAAGATCTTAGCCTGTGCGTGTACAGTGCTGATATCATTGACTGGAAGGACCTGGGGTTGTGGATGTCTGACAGGCAAGAACTATGCTGCCCAACACAGTGACTGTCAGTCTCACTTTTGAAGTTTAAGTGACCATTTTAAGTGAACTAAAAATCAAGGAGAAGTTTGTTTGCTTAGTAGCCACACCTAGCTGGCAGGTCTGAAGTAGACCTGAACGTGATGATGAAACTTCTCCAGCATCGTAAATGGTTCTAATGGAAAGCAGTGATCAGGAAGAAGCAGGCTTGGGGGTCATCTCCATGAACCGAGGTACAAGGGTAGTGCTGCTCCATGGTCCTTACCTAGCATATGTATAGGGAGAACCGTGTGCACTCGCTCCACTGGGAGGATTAATCATGTCAACTCAACTGCACTGAGACATGCCTACATGGCAAGTAAAGCGCACTTTGAGTGTGGCTGTGAAGGTGTTTTCAGAGATCACCAATAAGAGACAGCAACCAAGGGAAAGAACTCACCTTGCATGTGGTGGTACCATCCAACCAGCTGGACTCGCTGGATGAAATGGGAAGATGTAAGAGCAAGCTAGGGCTTTTGGTTCCCTTCTCCCTGAGTGAGGATGTCTGCTCCTGCTAATGTGCCCATAGACATCTGACTCCAGTTTCTTTGGTCCTCGAGTGTGGACTCACCCCAGCAACTCCCCAGGGAGCTTCCAGGTCTTTGCCTTGAACCTCAACTGTGTAATCAGTTCCTCTTATAATGAGGCTTCCAGTTCCTTGGCCTGAGCAGCTACTGGGTTAGATGACTTTTCCAAGAGCAGATTGGGCTCTGCCACTTCCTATCACGCCATGTCTCCTTGATAATCATACATAAATATGCGCATGTAAATATATATTCTTTAGGTTCTGTTCCCCTAGAGAATGATGACTAATACCCCCATGCTTCCCTGGCCTGTTATATCCTTTTATGAGCTCCTGTACTTCAAAATAGATTGAACTTTCTATCATTTACCATAAAATCTTTGAAAAATCTATAATGAGAATTTTCAGTAGTGATTTTTTTTCAGGCTGGAGAATTTCCAATGGCTGCTTCCCTGTGCAAGCTAGGACCTTAACTTTGCCATCCTCTTACTTGGTGCAATTACCCTGCAGCAGTCATGATAAAGCCTGTCTTCTCGAACCCTGACAGACTTTCAAACAATAATCCAGGACTCACAAGACCATGATTCATCTCTTATCTGTGCTCGGGCAAGAAACTGGTAAGTACTTTAAAAATCCCTTTGGTCTCTGGACTCACACAACTTGCTGTATAGGTTGATGTCTGGATCCTATGTTGTCTTCAGAAATTAGCACGCTATGCCACCTGTCATTTCTCCAGATAGAGTGATCTCAGCCCCAGATTATAAGGGAAATGCGAGTATTACTTTGCTTCACCTAAATCATGAATTAAAAATAAAGTGGACACTTGTCTTTTGGGACATATCTAATATTTGAAGACTACTAGAATGTAGTTGTCATAGGCTGACTGTGTAGCTAAATTGTAGCATGCTTGCTTAACATATATGGGCCTCTGGATTCCTCAACACTATAAAAAGTTATCTACTCATTCATTAGGATAGCCCAGGTATTTGTTTCAGGGTGTTCCATGGGTACTGAAATCTATAGATAGTAAAAGTCTATGAAGAAAATGGTCTTATGTTAGCATAGATTTATGCTTATCCACCCATACATTCAGGACATCTCTACATAATTTACAATATCTAATCCAATGTACATGATATATACCAGTTATGAATATTTTGTTTTAGAGAATAACAGTAAATATAAACGTGTACCTGTTAAGTTTATTAATACTTTTTTTCTTGCTGAATGTTTTTTACCTGTAGCTGGTTGAATGCATGGATGCAAAAGAACTGGCTGTAGTTGCTATATAAGCGAATTCTGAAGTGAAAATTTTTTAGAAGTTAAGAATCTAATACTATTTCCTAACTCATAAAGCTAGAATTGAATCTCTTTGCCTTACCTAACATCTAGTTCACATGTATCTGTGCCTTAATCTTGATTCCTGAAGCAATTTATAACTCCGAAATTCTGCCTGCTTATGACCACAGTCTCAGAGGAAAAAACCAGCGGGTAATGGCGAACTTTTGTTGTACATGAGTTTATAGATGAGGAAACATATTTAGAGACAGAAATTTGTATAAAGTAGCATGGTAGTTGATGGGACTCAGAGCTGTAAACAATGTGGAAGGGACAATGGTAAAGAGTGTGGCTTTTAGGTTTACAGCTAGATGGAGTTTTGTCTTTATGTGTTTATTTAATCATTGCCCGGATGAAGGACTAGAGCAGTAGTTCTCAACCCTCCTAATGCTGTGACCCTTTAATATAGTTTCTCATGTTGTGGTGACCCCCCCAACCATAAAATTGTTTTTGTTGCTACTTCATAACTGACCTTTGCTACTGTTATGAATCATAGCATGATCTGTGTTTTCTGGAGATCTGAGGCAACCCCTGTGAAAGGGTCATTTGATCCTTAAAGGGGTTGAGACCCACAGGTTGAGAACCACTGCACTGTAATATTTCCAGCTGCCTACAAGGTTACTCAGATGCTTTCCCAAGCAGTGACTTGTCTAAGAATAATTCCCCTGCAGAACATATATGGCACAGCCATTGTAGAAAATTATGTGGGGTTCCTCAAATAGTTAAAAATAGAAATAGTCACCAATCCAACCACCCCACTTCTGGTTATCAATCCAAAAGAAACACAATCAGCATCTTAGGGAGATAGGCATCCTTGTTTTCATTTTAGTGCTACTCACAAAGGCCAAGATGGGGCATCAAATACACACACACACACACACACACACACACACACACACACACACACACATGCTTGTTTTACCCATATTGTAAACAGTAAGATTTCCTTTTGTTCTGATGTTGAGTAACATCCATTTACCTGAGTGTGTACAACTGAGCCTGCATCTTTGACTAGATAGCATTGTACTAATAATGCAGACACAGAAAGAAAAAAAATACCACATGATTTCATTCATATTGTGTAATAACAGACAAATTCAGAGAAGCACATCACTGCATCCACAGTTGACAATGCTAGGGTGTTTTCCAATTTCTGTCTTTTGTGAATGATACATTAAGCTACACATACTGAATTCTCTTGATCACATGCTCAGGTTTAGTGTTGCTGGATCAGGGAGCAATGTATTTTGAGTCCTGAATTTTCTGCCTCCACTGCTGTTAACTGTGCAATAACTACTATCTGGCTCTCTGAATGATCTAAGCAGGCTCTTAATTTAATCAGGAACTTTCTATTACCTTAATTAGTAGCAGAAGGGAAAGATATATATTTGTTCAGCGAATAAGAGAGTCTTAAATTATCATTAAAAAGCTGATACACCACAATGTATGTAGAACATTTGATAGCCTCTCTTTGGAAAAACCATAACATCCCCCATCTTCGACAGACTTGTTTTACTCACTGAAATGTATACAGTAAGAGGGAAGTGAGCAATTGATTCTCCATTTACTTGTACACTGTAATTAGCTAACAAAGAAACAAATCAATTTAAAACCAATTTCCATAGTCTACCCATGCACAGAAATTGATTGCAGACCTGAATTTGCTGAACAAAAAGCGAAGCTAGCTGATCTCAATTTGTATTTCATTGAGTAAATGTCAGCTATTGAGTCTCAAAGCTTACTGCTGGAGAAGCAACACAACTGTCATTCCTTAAAGAGGCAGGACACAGTCACTGTGAGGTTACAGTAGGTATGGCCTAGGTGTATCACTCGGTGAAGGAAGATGAAATATTTAACAATAGTGGAAGGAGAAACCTCTGCCAACTGCCCCTTCTTTCAGACTCTTAGCTCATCTTAATTTAATGCTCATTGATTCTCATTGGTGGATGCTGTGCAGAGCAGCCCTTTTGTAATGGGAAGTTAGACAATTGGGCTGAAACTCACTTTACAGGCCAACTCAATTCTCTCAAGCGTTCTTGAACACTTGATAATGCAACATTACATTTTAAGAGAATGTTTTGATCTGTGTATTACAGAATAGGTTTCCCCAGTGCATCTGTTTTTTTCCTCAATGAGTGATCCATGTTGTCATTGTGACAGGATCTGTAATCTGTTTGATAACCTGCAATGCCTTCTGCCCTGGCACCGCACAGAATGTGCAATGCTGTACTTTGTGTGGACACCAGTATTTATGAAACAAAGTGGCATGATGTGATAGAGAAAATAATGTCTTCTTTCTCAAAAGAAATGCCACGACTCCTCCCCTGACCTCCCTCTCTTTCTCTCTTTACCTATAAAGTAGGAAGAATGGTACTTCCTCCCCTGGCCTCCCTCTCTTTCTCTCTTTACCTATAAAGTAGGAAGAATGGTACTTCCTTCACTGGGATTTTGTGATAGATAACTGAAGTGTGCATATAAATGCACAGAGCAATGCCTCATTATTAGTGATATAACAAAGTATTTGTCCTTTCTTAAATAGAGTTTTACATTCCAAATATTACTATATTTTCCTGTCTTTTTCTTCAGTACATCCAATTTCCTATCTCTTAGTTGGCTTATGTTATACTATTAAAGTTAAATTTATTATTTTTATTTACTTATTTAATACTTGTTTCTTACAAGTATTGTGATATGTCAAGAATATTTGCCTCTGTCCTATCCCTACTTTCCTCTTCTTTTGCTTTCCCCTTTTCCTGATAATTCCCTTTGTTCCCATAGACAATTTCCTTCTGCTTTCATTAATACACACATCACTCATTCTTCTTTATGGCTGAAAACATTATCACTGAGTATATACACCAAATATTACTTATTCATTCCCCTGTAATTCGACTTCTGGTTTGGTTGCTTAATTTAACTCTTGTGCACAGTGCTGTAGTAAACACTGATATACAAGTTTCTCTGACATTCTTAATTGGAGTCATTCAGGCAAATGCAGGAGAGCTAGATGATCTATTTCAATTCTTAACACTAACTTTTCAAATAGATGAGCAATAACGAACTAAATTCCCAGGGGACACAACAAAGTATGTGGGAAAGACAAGGTGTTTTCTCTGTAGTCTTGGCAGGCCTAGAACTTGCAACATAGTCCAGGATAGCCTCAGTTTCTGGAGTGCTGGAATTACAAGTGTGTAATGCAGTAGTCCTCAGAAGAAATGTATTTCACAACACTTCTCTTATGGTTAGAGATGGTTTCATTGTCTATATTTATTTTTTTAAGGCATCAAGGAATCTCTGCAAACATATGATGACATTTATGTGGCAAGATCAGTATGCAGCAGTACCATAAATAATAGTATTTTTGTTCAAAAATCACACAAAACATGTTATCTCACCTTCACCAGCCTTGTCATGTATTTATATGCAATCCAAATAACCCCTTAGACCACCCAATCCTCATCTCAAATACTCCCATAATAAAGCTGTAGCAACGGCTTCAGGAAACATGAAGTAACTAACAGCAAAGGATCTACTTCACACTCAGGTTTGCAACTGGGAGCAGCATGGATAGGGAAGTGTTTGTAAATTTTCTGGAAGGACTCTAAAGTGGAGCACGAAAATCTATAGCAATTTCCAACTGTATTAGTCAGGTTTCCCTAGAATAACAAAACTTAGAGAATGAGCCTCCCTATGTGTATAGAAAGGGGGTTTATTAGAATGACTTAGAGACTATGGTCCAGAGAGTCCATCAATGACTGTGAATGCAAAGTCCAATAGTCCAACGGTTGCTCAGTCTGTGAGACTGGATGTCTTAGCTAGTCTTCATTATATGCTGGAATCTCAAAGAATTAGGCTCTAATGCGGCAAAGGAGTGAACTTGCTATCAAGGAAAGGGCAAGCAGGCAATGAGTAGAAGCTTCCTTCCTTCTTCCATGTCCTTATATAGGCTTCCAGCAGAAGGTGTGACTCAGATTAAAGGTGTATGTCTTCTGACCTCAATATCCATGTTCAAATTAAGCAAAAAATCCATCACATGTGTGCTCTCTATTTTTGAATTTTAGTTAATTCCAGATGTAGTCAAGTTGACAACTAAGAATAGCCATCACACCTACCTACTTACGAGCCAGTCGACATGCATACATTTACAAATATTTGGAAGAAACCTCCTACATCCTTTATGCTTGTATTTTCTGCTTTAGTCTTACTGGTCTACATCCTCTGGAGTAGAGATGGAATAGTCTTTTTAGGCAGACAGTTCAAGCTCTGATTTCAAGATCTAGGACCATCTTCCAGACGGCCTCAAGGCCAGAATATACTCTAGGAAATTTAGAGAGGCAGGTCCCTGAAGTGAAATGATTATCTGTTTACCAGAGTGTGTGTCCCCCAAACACTCTTCTTTTGCTTATCATTTCATTTCCCACATAGGTTTTTTCCTCAGGGAGTGGCTGATCTGCCTGCCTAAAAGCACATATCCTAGCATTTTCATCATGAATGAATTGTGATTTTCATTTTATGCATCAACACCACGAGGTTTCATTGATTGGTTGTTTTGATTCTGTTTCTCAGAGAAGGATGTATTTCTTCTGTTGGACAATCAGGGCCCTGAGTCTGCATTTCTGAGAGCTGGGCCATATAATATGGTCAATTGAAGCATCTTACAGCTTTCTAGTGATTTCCCAGGCAACATTTCCCCCTGACCCCTGAACTGGACAAACCAGAGCATGGGATGTTCTTTCTTAATTAAATGTCCATACTGGCCATGTGGTGGAGTAATAACTTATGTAGTATGGATCTGCATGTGTGCAGCCTTATCAAATGGCAGGCACCATTATTATGTTTCCTCTGCATATAAGAAAACTGAAGTAAAATTACTACTACAGGAGCTTCAATGCAGGGCAACCTTCTGGCTCAGCACACAGTATTACCTGTAGCCTCTCTGTCCTTCAGTTTGTTAGTTATTCACCTCATTATATCGAGTCTAGAAATCTAAGCACTTAAACTTCCACTTAGGAGTTTCTTTGTTTAGGTCATCAGGGGCAAACTAATATCTGGAAGGCACATTCACCCACTGGAAGCTCTGGCCTGTTCCCTGGCTGAGCATCCTTCATCCATCTACCACCATGGCTTCTGGTAGACAGGACATGTCCTGAACAGGGGAACAGTTTCCTCTCTCAGTGTCACTTCCTTTGAGCCACTACTGTTCAGGACGCTGCTGAGATTTTGATTTAAAGAGACAGATACTGGGCAACTTCTATTAATGTTTTCTTTCTTCTGTAGAAAGATGTGGATTCATACAACCTTTCAAGTGGATTCATGCAACTTTTTCAAGGAAATTTAATTTTCCATGACTGCTGCCAAATCCAATTTTGAGTTTTACATGAAACACTAGAAAATAGTCGTCTGGTCAGAGGTCATATTTCTAATTCATTGATTCGTTAATGCAACTTTACCTGTTTGTAACCTCGTCTTCTTTATTGTAATCTTTAAGATGCTAAATTGCCAAAATAAAACTACATTTTAAAAAACATAAAGTTGAAAATGTCTTTGTTTTGTCTTCTTCCTCCTGATTATGGTGGTACCGTCAGAATTGTTGTTATGTTTGTTAAAGTGGAAAACATTCGCTAAAGCCAAGACACTATGAAAACATGTTTTGAAAATGCTCAGTGCACAATAACTAATGTTAAGGACATATTATACACCCAAATAGTTCTGTAATGCCTCCAATGATACTGTGCCCTTGTGTGTATGTGTGTGTGTATGCGTTTATCTTAGTGTCCTAGTTTTTATGTAGATCATGACATATGTAATTATGTTAATTAATTTTAAGATGATGTAGAGTGTCAGACTATTCTGTCTCTGGCTTCCCATGTCTTATTCTCCCCCTTTTGCATATTGCTCATATTCCTCACTCACTAAGGCTTCTCTAGTGTTGAAACTAAGGTAAGCAGATGCGTAAAGTCAAAGACCTAATTTTGGTTTCTTTTACGATTTGTCTGGTGAAGTGTGTTAGCAAACAACCAGTTCCAGATACGGAACTCAAGTTTCCACCATTTGTCCAGACACCTGAAATAATCTGGGCCAGGGTTAGAGCTAAGAATGACATTTCCATCATTGCTATGAACATCTTGTTCCTGAAAAGTCTATCATCTTATTCCTAAGAGCCCACACAGCCACATGGTTATAAAGCCCAGTCAGTCATCCACATTCTTTCAGAAAGGTAAAGGTTAACTTGGGTTCTTGGTCTACACGTCCAAGAAAGTAGGTGTAAAAAGCCTCAGAGTTATTGACTACACAGTTACATTTATAGACTCTATTTAACCAAACAAATACAGAAAATGGAAAGAATCCAGTTCCATGGCATGAAAAGTTTTAAGTAATTATTTTGTCTTGAACCAAACAAATGAAGGAAGGGGTTTATTTAAAAATGCTCCATAGCTTGCAGGTTAGTAAATTTATTTACTTGTATTTCTTTGTGGAAAAAAAAGGGTCATAAAGGGCATGTTTTACCAGCCCTGGGACTTGTCTTTGGACTCGTGGAACCTCTTCTCTGAGTTTTCCTTCTTGTTAGGCACCTGTTCTTTCCAGGAGGGAAGGAGACGTCCCAGTCTGGGGACAGACGGTGGCCCAGCTGTGTGTCGAATGGCATCTTTTCTGTAACCATCTGCTCCCTGCTTTGTGAGTGCCCACCAAATGACAGTCCACAGCAGTTTGTAAAGAAATGGATTTTTACTGTCACTGATGGGGCAGAATTTGGGATGGGAAAGAATATAGGATGACTTTATTTCATGTGCTTCTGTTTCCTTTTCTCTTTATACTGAAGATGGGATAGAGTTAGGGCGTATCCTAAGACTCCTGTGGATACTGTCTGTGCAAAGTGAAAGTTACTGGGGTTATATTTGTGGCTCATAGCCACTCTTCATACTTCAGAGTGTAAAGACAAAGACACACACTCAGATGAGTTTAGATACATGGCTGTAATCCCTCTGACAAACAGGATGACTCATTTTAATCTTTTCATTTCTATCTTCAGGGGATTAGCTGATAGGTATGGAGGCCCTGCCTTCTTCTTGATATACTAGACAGTATCTGTATGTGAAGTTAACATATCATGGACCTATATACCTGGAATGCATTTTCCTCCCAAGCACCTGGCCCTCAGTCCTCAGACCAGCATATGGGGAATTAACAACAAGTAGGGAATTCACATTTTGCCAATCCTAGGAATTGTCTTAGCCATCCCCTTTGTTTGTTCGTTCAGCTTTTGTCTTATGTATTTTGAAACAATGTTATGTAAATTCAGGCTCAGAGTTTGTTTTATTTTTCTGACAGTTTGCTTTATCTCTCTGGTAGATTCTGTCCTTTAACATAATGTCTTTATTTATATCCTCTAATGCTTATTTGAAATTCTAAATAATTATAGAGAACACATAGCATGAGCATTGATATCTTAGCCATTTATGTTAAAAATTATTGTTTCATTGTTGCTGTTAGGATATGTGTGTGTGTGTGTGTGTGTGTGTGTGTGTGTGTGTGTGTGTAACATATATGTGCCACAATAGAGTGTATGTAGGTCACAGGACAACTCTTGGAGTAGCTTTTCTCCTTTAACTGTTGGTTCTGGGATCAAAGTCAGTTCATTCAGCTTTCAAAGTCAGGTTTTTTTTTTATCCCGAGCCATCATCTTGCTAGACACCAACTTAACCATTTTTTAAGTGGACAGGTCACTAGTAGTGGCATATTCCAGGAAAACTTATTTACTAAAATCTTAATATATGTATATATCTTAGTATATTTCATATGTATGTGCTTATATATATAGTTTAACTATATGTATATATACTTTATACTATAAGTATAAAGCATAGTTTTAGATGCTTTAAAGTATATGCTTTTTTTTTTCAAGACAGAGTCTCACTATTTAGATCTGGCTGGCCTGGAACTCAAGGCTGGCCTTGAATTCACAGAGATCCACCTGCCTCTGCCTCTGGAGCTACCACACTCAGCTAAAGTTATATATATAAAACTTTTTAGTATGCATGACTTGGCTTTTCAAATCCATTTTTAAAAATTAGCTTAAACATATTCATTTATATTTACAGAATTTCTATTAAATATGTAATTATCCTATTTCCCTTTTGTCTTCTTTATTGTTTCATGCCTTCCTTTAAACTAGTCAAGTTTTTCATTTATTGTTATTTTATTTTCTCCTGTATTTTCCTTTGGTTGTAGATTATCTTACTCTCTTTACTCTTTTTAATTGTTAGCTTAGAGACAATTGTGTGCAGTGGACATATAATCCATGTTAAAACTTTTTTACCGCTTCCTGGAACATGTGAAAACATAGAAGAGTTTGGATAAGCTACTTACATATCCTTTTTCTTTTCTACACCCAACCATTCACATCTTACCCCCCATTTTATCTCAAATAATCTCCTCTTTCATTTTAATTGTGTGTGTGTGTGTGTGTGTGTGTGTGTGTGTGTGTTATAAAACCTGCTCAGCCTATATAGTATTATTTGCGTGCTAGGACTTTAGGACTGACCCCTTGGTATTGGATAAGCAATTGGGGGGCTGTTATATAAAAAAGACTTTTCTCCCACTCTTAAACATTCCTTAGATTTCTGTAGTTCTTTGTCTAGAGTTGGGTCTCTATGAGCTTCTTGCCTTCCACGTTAGTATGTCTACTGGTGCTGTCCTTGTACAGGTATTGTTGTTTTAATCTACATATGCTCTAAATTTCATGTAGAGTATTCTTACTATTTTCATTAAGTCAATATTTATTTAGTTTGATCAACTTATTTGTCTTCTGTAACTTTCAGAGTTTTTCTGCATTTTCATAATATATTCTGCCTGAAGAAGTCGCATTACTAAATTCTTTTACTGTAGATATGCTGGGTATCAATTTCCTGTATTGAAATTTTTCTGAAACCATCTTCATTTTAAAAGAAGATCATTCAAAAATGGATTTTTGTAGCTGTAGAGATGGCTCAATGGTAAAGAGTAGTTGCAGCTTTTGCAGGGGACCCAAGTTTGGTTCCTAGAGTTCATACGACCCCTCATAATTGCTGGAATTCCAGTTCCAGAGAATTTGAAACTTTATTATGCCCTCCCTGGGTACCAGGCACCTATGGGGTAATGAACTTACATGTAGGTAAATACTCATGCAAATAAATAAAAATGAACTTTAAAAAGTGAAATTTTGTCAGTGTGTAAGACACATAAGTTGTATACATAGTGACTATTAAGCTTCAAGAATATCCACAAACAAAACACCATGAAACCAGCAGCCAGCTCAAGAAAGAGAACTTGACAAGTGTTCCAAGAGCCCTCAGGCCCTTTCCAAACACCATCCCCCCAAAAGGATTCACTCTCACAATCCCAACATCATCAACTACACTGGCCTGTTTTGTGTTTTGTGTGGAGGTAAGTTTTACACGATCTTTTATGACTGATGTTTACCCGTGATACTTACGAGATGCATTGATGTTGTATTTAGTGACATGGCTATGATAATCTGTATACAGCTATATAAATATTTATCCATTTTACTATATGGTTGATAGTTTTGGATGACTTTATAGAAATAGACACAGATATTTTGGTATGAAATTCGTGTCTTTCACACATAGCTTTTATTCAGATACTTCTCACCATCTCCAAAGTGAACTAATTTGAGCATCAATTCTGTGTCCAATGTTTCACTGACACATGACTTACCCAAAGACAAAATTCCTCAGTAGCTGTGAACTTGTGAAACCAGACAAAGATGTGCTTCCAATATATTACAGTAGAATTGACAGCAGATGGTCGTTTTCTTTTTAAAGGTGGGAAATTGCCCAGAAAAGGGAGTGTTGGATCCCAACCAAATCTTAAACCCATCTGGAAAATTCCATTAAGTCCATAAGGCTATAGAATAATCCTATTTGTCTTGGCACTTTGCCTTACAGTCCTATTGGGACTTCACTATCATGTCAATCACTCCAAGTCACAACCCCACACCAGAATCTAAGGCATATCTTCTACCACTAGGCACTGAATGGTAGCTGCCTGACCAGTGAAACCAGGGAAGCTATATCCTTGCCTCTGAGGGCTGTGTGTTTTGAGCCTAAATTGCCTTCATGGATACCCATGATTTTTCTTAAGGGATATTTTCCTAGTTGAATAGCTGTATTTCTTCATCTGGTGGAATCCATCTGTGGCGGCCTTCCTGCAGTTTGCTCCATCTCTGACTAGACTGGCAATATTTCTGGTGATGTAATCCCATCTCCGTTCCTTGTTCCTGCCCAAATAATCACTAATATTAGTGGTTAATCTTTTTTTGGATGACTGTTTATCACACCTGGGTATTTTCCACAGAACATGTATTTTAAATTTTTTGTAGTATGGACAGATAACAGATTTTTTAAAAACTCTCAGGTCCTGGTTCTCTTTTTATGATTAGCAATATATTCCATGTGTATATCTCCTTTTTCATCTTACTATGTGCATAAAGAGAAATCTGATCAGACCTTCAGCACTTCTTTTAAAAGTCTCTTCAGACAATCATGCACTTATGTTGCT